AATACCACTAAATTTAAATATATCTACTAACTAATAGTAGTATTCTAACTAGAATAGTTTTATTCTAATAGAAGTACTATTAAATTAATAGAATTTTAATAAAAAAACGAACTAGGTATACTTATAGATTAAGTAAGATAAGAGGTTAAAGAAGAGAAGAAGATACTAGGGTATACCCTAGGTATATATAGGTATAATATCTCCCTTTATCCTAACTATATTCTCTTACTAGTAAATAACTGCTTAGCTAACCCTTATATATATAAGATACCTAAGTTTATAGGTATTAGAGACTATAGCTATCTGATTTCTTAGTATAGTTATATAACTATACTATATATAGACCTTATTATATATACTATACCCTCTATTTATACTTCTATTATATTACTTTTTATATTTTTAGAGTATTAAGGCTAGATACCTTTCCTTATATACCTTTTTACCCTTACTATAAGGTTTTTTAGATATATAGGTTTTAATAGACTAAGCTACTCCTTTATTCTTCTCCTATTCTAAGCCTATAGGGACTATATACTATAAGGAGGGGGATATTATTAGGACCCTAGTACTAAGAAGGCTGATACCTAAGGTATAAGCCCTATTATAGGGTATAGAGTACCTATCTTAGGTATATAGGGGACTAGGGACTGGATAGGAGTAATGTATACTACCTATATAGCCTTCTTAGGTTATATAACCTATAAACCTATATATTATCCTTATATACTGCTTCTTTAGGGAAGTAGCTATTAGTTCTAATATACCCTATATATATCACTATCTCTATTTCCCGATCCTCTATTATATATAGCATTCCCTTAGGTATTCTATACCTAGGGGTCTCATAGTTATCTTAGTAGCGCTATGGTTCTAGGTATCCTAAGGATAGTATGGTTACAAATACAGCGAGTACTACTGTATAGTCATCTTCAGTATTATATATAAGATAACTTACCATATCATAATCTTCATATGGTTTCTACTTATATTTTCTATGAATAATATTCGATAGGGTGATATCTCTATAAATAGTTCTTCTATACTATTATTATAGGAAGCTTCCTAGTATTTATAGAAGAGGAGATAATTGTTATTAGGAAACTACTTACTATATGGCTACTTACTATATAACTATATACTAGTCTTAGCTATGGTAGACTAGTCTATATATTAGTTTTTTAATTATAAGTCTTTATTAACGTTCGCATTCTCTTAGTACCTAAATTTAGACTTAGAACGGTCGGTTAGGAGTGACTGGTAAATATAGTACTACTATTAATAGTATAACTAGTTAGTATAGTACTACTATTAAGGGTATAACTACCGCTAGGGGTAGTATTTCCTATAGTATCGTTAATTCCTCTTAAGTAGGGTATAGTAATCCTAATGGTATTATTAAAGGGGAGACTTACTTACTTAGTAGGAGTAGAAGATCGGCTAGGCTTTATAGAAGTAGAGGAAGAGAGGATATACTTAGTATTAGTGATAGCGTTATATACTTACCTAGGGGGTTTAGATTTCTATAGTTATTAGAGCTACCTATTTTTTAGGCGAAAACTAGGCTACCTATTTTTCGGGTAAAAATATACTAGTCTTCTATTAGCTAGATAGACCCTACTTCTTATAATAAAGAAATTTCCTCTATTATTATAGTCGCTTCTTCTTCTTCTCTATTTTATATTTTATTCTAGATTATTAGTATTATACTAACCTAGTGAATTACTCACTCTAGTTCTATATCTAGTTTATCTTTATTAAGTACTTTAGTAAAGTCTATAATCTGGATTCTTAGTAGTTCTATAGGATAGTTCGTAAAGTTAAGATTCTTATTAAAGGTAGTATCCTAAATATACTTACAGCTATTTATATATAGGAACTAGACCTTCTAGATATTACTTATATAAAATCCTACTAGATACCTAATCTCTACTTAGTTATATATTTTATCTAATAAAGGAATTCCTTAGATCCTAATATAGGTATAATACCTATAAACCTTTAGATTTAATAGGTTAATTAGAATAAAGGTACCTATTCCTTATTAGTAGAATTTTTACTAAGATATAATCTACTTTCCTAAGTTTAACTTTATTAGTAATCTATTAATAATATAGATAGTAGCTTATACTACTTCTAGTTAGAGGTTCTTTAGAAGCTTCGATTCTTAAAGAAGTAACTATACTCTAGTAATAATCACCCCCCTAGATTATTTAGTGAAACCGTTTTATTCTAGTATACTAACCATAGTCTATTAGGTAATAATCCTATTTTCTTTTATAAAGTCTATTATCTTTTAATTAATTAATCCTTTATTATTAGAATAGAAAATATAAATTAGTAAATTAAACTATATTTATATTTATAAGATAAATTTAATAATTACCTATTAGTAACCGCTCTTCTTCTTATATATTAAGGCCTAGTAGTATCGGATACTATTAATATAGAAGTAAGAGATCTACTTATTACTATTATATACTTTAGGGAGTATAATAAGATCGAAATATATCTAACTAAGTAGTCCGAAATTTATACCTTAAATATAACGAGAGACTTACTTAGGTATTCTACTAAGCTAATATATCTTATATAACTCTAGGTTATTTACAGTACTCTTAGTATTTATATATAAGGAGGGTTTTATAATCTAAATATCCTTAACTATTTTAGTAAGCTATTCTATATACTCGCTAAATATATAGCTAAGTCGCTAGTACTATCTCTCTACTATTACTTTTAAGACTAATAGCTATACTAAACGCTAAGTTATATTAAAAGAGGTTATTATAAATATTACTAGAAATATAAAGTCGGTATATAGGAGTATAAAGAAGTTCCTAATCTCTTCTATTTTTATAAAGGTCCGGCCTATATCTTTATAGATAATAGTTAGATTATTAAAATCTACTTTATACCCCCTCTATTTAATTAATACTACTAAGATAAGATTATAGTAGAAGCTAGGAGAGTACTTAATATTATTTAATATAAGATTAATAGATCGGCTATAATAGCTAATAGTTTTAATCTAGACTTTACCGGTACTATAGACTTTAGTAAATATATTACTAACCTTTAGCTTTCCTATCTTTTTATAGAATTTAATAAAGAGGCCTTAGTTATTTATAATATATCGGCTAGTTACTAAATTAATTAGCTAACAATCCTATAGGGTAGATTGTGAGTTTATTAGGAAAGTAGTATCTTTAATAGCTATTAAGTAGTCTTTATTATTTAGATCTACTTCTATAAAGTATACTTAGTCTATATCTTCCTCTTCTACTAGTTTAGCTAGAAGTTAGTTTATATAGTCCTTTACTTTTCTAGATAACTTATTAACCTTTCCTTATATATTCTTTTAAATATTAGGATTAGGTTTCTAACTAGATAGGTATACTACCTTAACTAGGTATAGATATATACTAAAGTAGTGGTTTTCTCTATATATATAAGCTAGGAGAGATATTAATATCTTCTTTCCCTTTATAGTTATAGTAGTTATTATAGTTATAGTTACTAGTTTTTTAGCTTCTCCCTAATCCCTAAGAGTTATAAAAGCAGCCTATAGTACCTTTAGCTTTAATAACTTCTTCTAGTTAAAGAGCGACTATTCCGAATGGTATATATTTACTATACTAGTAAATATATATTTTCTATTTTATTTAAAGACCTTCTAGTACTAATAGTAATAGAATTAAGGCTTAATAGAATCGAGTACTATTAAGAAATTATAGATTATATTTTGGTTATTAGTTATAAAGCTTACTTTTATAGCTGTATATTCTATATAGAGATTCTCTAATTTTATTAACTAGCTATTAATTACTATATTTTTAATTAGTATTATTACTATAACTATCTACTATCTCCTAATAATCTAGACCTACTTTATATCTATATAAAAGAAATATAATTATAGGGTAGCTAGTAGCTTACTAGTCTCCTATACTTTAACTATTAGATTCTAGATCTCGATAGTAAGTATATTCCTTATTCTCTCTAAGACCTTATTAAATACTAGTTTAATTATCTTATACTTAGATAGATTATTATTATAGTCTTTCCGATCGTTATTATAGTTAAGTTAGCCGTTTATTATTAATCGACTTATTATATTATAATTATACTTTTTATTATTTTTATTTAGTCGAATTAGCTTTATAGGTAGGATAGGCTACTTTTCTTCACTAATATTTAGATTAATATAATCCTAAACGTCGAGATTTTTAGTAATTATCTCTACCTATATAAACTAGGTTTACTATTAGGTTAAGTTCCTTAGAATAATATATACTCTAGGTATACTTAAGACCTATTTAGTGATCCCGCTAGGATTATCGTAAAGGAATAATATCTCATTTTCCATAGCTTTCTTATATAAGTTAGTAGAGGACAGACAGGAAGTGCTAGGTAAGCAAAAGTACTTCTATACTCAGGGGTACAGTAGCTCGTGGAGTAGACCGCGGTAGTATTTAATTGCAATTGATATACTAGTGAACCGGGCTTATAACTATTGAATAAAAGAGAGGCTGTTTTGTATGGTACGAGCAGTAGGATACTAGACCAAAGGGTAAAATGAGTGTAATTGTGAAAAAGGAGGGTTCTCCTCCGAGATCTATCTTGGTGTATATTTATATAATCGGTACACGTGGCTGCTGACTACTAATATACCACCAGATGTAAGGAATGTACGGAAGTGCGTCATTTCTGGTCGACACAAACTTCCATATATGGTTGTCGGCTTTTATCTTAAAGGACCCGGTGGAAACCCTCCCCAACAAGAATATGGTCTCTCGCGATCAGCCCTCAAGAAAATACTGTCATCAAAGGAAGCAGACAGACTCATATCTGAGGCAATTACTTATGATCCTGATATGGCTTTACAAGATACTATTTCCTCTATATCTGGCCTAACTATAAGGTCTAGGATTGGGTTATCCCGCAGTTTTAGGGCAAGCAACAACTATTGGCATCCAATGCTCGACCCAGCTTCCAATATGATCCAGCCAGCGCTTTTGCAGCAGCCAGGATATCACAGTCTACCCGGCTATAGTTCATCCAGGGCCCCGAGATCATATGACCAACAGCAATTTATGCAGCCATCGTTCATACAGCAGGCGGGCCCGCAGCATCTAGGCATACAACCGCAGTCTATGATACCACCACACATGCAGCAGCCGGGTGCGCAGCATCTAGGCATACAACCGCAGTTTATGATACCACCACACATGCAGCAGCCGGGTGCGCAGTATCTAGGCATACAACCGCAGTCTATGATACCACCACACATGCAGCAGCCGGGTGCGCAGTATCTAGGCATACAACCGCAGTCTATGATACCACCACACATGCAGCAGCCGGGTACACAGTATCTAGGCATACAACCGCAGTCTATGATACCACCACACATACAGCAGCCGGGTACGCAGTATCTAGGTATACAATCGCAGTCTACAGCATTGCCATTCATACAACAGCCGTTTTTGCTACCGCCATCCTCACAACAGCAGGGCGCGCAGAATTTGGGAATGCAGCAGCAGTCTTTATTGCAACCGTATAGTGAGGACGTAGATAAAGAACTCTAGATGATCCGACCGGGTAGAATAATGGGTGGTTTTCGGTAATCTCTAGGAATTATCAGAGTAAGAGGGACGAATAGCTAGATAACCAAATTGAAACTCGCAGCACTTCTTCGTGGTATAGAGATACTAAGAGCGATATATAGAAACTGACCATCTAGGAACTGTAAGCCCTTGACGTGCCTTAGATAGAGGCACTGATGTGCCGGCATCATTGCAGGTATATACTGTCGAGCATAGGTTGGTAAAGAGAAGGAATTTGACCAAGAGATTGAAACGCAGTTCTAATTACCTTGAAAGCCTGTTCTAGATTGTAGGAGTAAATAGGGAGCTTTATCTTAGTATAGGCAAAGCAAGGTACATAACTAGTTACATCATTGGTCTCACGGCCAAGAGCATCATATCTCTCATGTCACACGAAGACGTTTCGAATCAATTATCTCTGGTTGACGTAGTCGTTTTAAGGCTCGCGGCCGCTGCAAAGTCGGTCGACATTTCAATGTAGAGCGGTAAAAGTCGATGATCATCGCCCGCCCAAGCTCTTCATTCCACAGGACATTATCACGCCGAAGGTCTTCATAGATGATTCCCAAAGCTCTAATTTCCTTGTTCGATTAGTGGATCCCTTATAGAAGCTGGGGCGTCAACTCCATCGATACCGTGCTTTTCCCCCCCAGCCCATCACGAGCATATGGCGAATCTCTCCAGCCCCGTAAAGGAAATAAATTTTCGCCAAGTCGATCGTACCCAGGAAAACGGGCACAGCGGATCCTTACGCCTTCTGCAGAATTCGGTATACCTTTACTTCGCGAGAGACTTCTTTCCACAGCGCCGACGTGGTTCCTTTTCCGATGACGGTATAGCCGTATATAAGACAAGTAAGTTTAAACAGCGCACCGTACGCCCCGCAACCTCCAAGGGGTATACATCGGTCAATGTTTTCGTCCAATTGTGCTTTTAGTAAATACACCAAATCTTCGGAGGTGATCGGATGCTGCGGATCGTCATTGCTTCGACGATAGAGCATCACATTTGGACAACAGTTGTCTAGAAGACCGTCAGACTGCAACCCGAGTAAGCATCGCTGGGTACAAAATTGCGCATCGCGGTAGCGGGACTGGCTGTCTGGTTTTCTATCATTATTTGTGTGTCTTTGTCGAGCCACGCGTTCGGCAGATAGAGAAGATAGAACTTGGCTGAAGGTCCGTTTATGGTATATTACTGGTTTCGAATCGGGATCTGGCGATTGTAACGACTGTGAGCGACGTCTCACGTCGGATGGGGCACAGCTAACTCCAGATCTAGTAGACACTTGACAAGCTGTTAAGTCAGGGGAATCTAGCGGAGATAACGATAGTTCATATATCGAACCAGTATCTAGGCTTGGAAATTCTAGGGCGGTACTATCAGAGTTAAGAGGAAGTTACCGGAATTCGTCTTCGGGAATGTGAGAGCGAGTGTGATCGAAACTGGTCTTCCATATTGGAATATCTGGTCTTACAGAATTCCTCCACTCCTAACCTCGCACAGGCGAGTGGAATGCCATCAGACACAAACACAGTGTTCTTATAACAGAAGTATTTGCAAAGGTAGCTTCCACTTCCATATTCACTTCACTGTTAGGGTCACATAGAAAGTAGTAGAGTATACCAGGATCGTTTTATCGCACACGGAGGAGGACCCGGGCAATCCCATTAGTCACATAGGAGTACTCAAGCCCTTCCTGGATCATTACATGATACTCCTAGACAAGAGCGGAGCAGACAAGTCGCTCTGCATTATACCGTAGCTTCGCTTCCTGGTTTATCGGAATTTTGTTTGATCTGACCATATTCTTCCATAAGTACATTGGTCGGAGCCCCATACGAAAGGTAGCGACAGAGAGCTTGTAGGGGGGCTTATACTCGACAGATATAAGGAGAGTGGTTGTGTTGTCGTCGACACGATAGATGCAGAACTGATCGGGTCTTAGGTAGTGCACATTTAACGGTTAGCTTACATCCGCTTCAATAGTATCGTTCACGTTTAAGGAATTCGTATAATTGCTGAACTGGATTCCATCACCGAGGCCGAACTCATCACGAGCAGCGGGTAGTTTACACAACTCTATTATTATATCGTAGACGTGTTCCTCCACGGCGAACCGCTCATAAGCCTCCAGTTCTTGTTCGCTACTTATAGGCTTACAACCCAGTAGTCGGCCTAATCCTTTTAGCTCAGGCAAAGATAAGAATAAACGCCGCGCCCCCCTAGTGCCAACTGCAGGTAGCTGTAGACAGAGCTGTAGAGCTCAAACTGTTACGCTAGGCAGTCTGTCCAATGTTCCAACCGTGTCGGGCAATATTTCCCCGTGGGAATGGGTATTTTCCCGGTAGTCAAGCGAGATAGTGTCTCGACTCTCAGCGGTCGGGAGAGCAAGTCATAGGAATAGTACAAGAATTCCACAAAAGTGGTCGGTCAGCTGAGCTCTTGAAGTTGCTCTCATCTCTCTTTCTCCTGTCTTCCTTCATCTTCGGCCTACTTCTATCGCTCTTCAGCCTACCTCCTCCTCTCTTCTTCTTACTTACGTCTCTCTTTCTCTCGTCTTCCTTCATTTTCTGCCTACTTCCTTCTCTCTTCTTCCTACTTGCGCCTCTCTTCTACCTGCAGGAAGAGAGCCTTATAATCTAGCGAGTTGTCGGCCATCGATCTGTCAGAGGGGAAATCGCTTGAGATAACCGCGACAGGTCTCGATTGGTAGGTGCCTTATCTAGGAGGCTGATGTCAGTTGGTCACGGTTTCTGGTAGAAGTATTTCCCCGAGAAATGACGCAAGGTTTCTGCCGGTTAATTTTGGTATCTCGATGGAAATAATATCTCCCTTATCAACAGACACCGCTGCACTCACCAAAATTGGATTTTCTTAGGTTCCAAAGGGACTATGCGCTGGGGTCAAAGTCGGTTCACTGGGTTAGTCGCCTTGTACTGAGTCGTGGGGGTTGTATCCGTCTTAACTCAGATTGCTTGGGATCTGCTGGCTGGCGGGTGGAACGTAGGAAAAATGCGCCGATTTGGAGTGGAGACAATTGTCTAGCTAATGATATTCAATCAACACCCTACTTCTTTCAGTTATTTAAAAAAGAAAATTAATTATATATAATTCTGTTTCAACCCTCCTATTTCTGACAACCGATCTTTTAATTAATAGCTGCAAGTTTGCTTGCCGTTGGCCCTCGTTTCTCATCACTATAGGCCTTGTACTTCCGGTTAACCCCCAAACGATCGTTGGTTGCATGTTATTTATTGTTTATTAATATCATGTCTCTTTAACCGGTATCTTTGTACTTAGCCCGCGTTTTAATTTGTATTCCAAATATTGATTATGTATAGTTACCAGGTTCCGCTTTATAACTATCCGTATGTGAGAACCTCATGTTCCTAGTATTATATTCGAATCTAGAATCCATAACATAGTTCCTAGAGGGCCCACAGCTCCCATAAGTGGACTGTATAGCTCTGGGGAACGAGAGGTAGTACCCTGGGAGCGTTGATTACTACTTTAGGGGGTAACCGATAGTATGCCTAGGAGTATGGAACCCCAGAATCCAGAAGATTTAGGCCTTTGCTTCAATTAAGCTGAGTCGGAGCTCATCTAGTATTGAATATGTCTTAGGATCTCCTAGTTTGAGGGCACGGTAAAACTTTCTGTAACCTACTTGCAGCTGATTTTTATCCAAAATATCTATACCGTCGATATACTCCAACATATAGCTCAGAATAGCCAACTAATAAGTCTCGTAGGAGGAATCGTAGTCACGGCAAAGCAACAGAATCAGGGCTTTACAATAGATAGGACTGTACAGAACACCGTGCTATTAATCACATGATAGTCCAAAGTGGCACGTGATGAGGGGTTATGCTTTGGGGCGCTGACCAGGACACGATAATACAAAATATTACCTGCAATGGTTCTACTACCTTCAGTAAGTGGAAAGAGGCAATAAATCAAGGGAAAACTGATTATAGTAACTATGTATCTACAGGATCCGATCAGCTGAACTTGCCCCTTTAAGACATATTTACCTTTATCCTCGGATAAGCGATGCCATCTAACGAAACGACATACTCTTCCATCGATAAAGGTCGACGAAAAGCATTCTCACACTGGTTCAGTACTGTGTCCTTTGAAGCATTTGCGAAAGGTGTATCCTTATGTAACGACCATGAACTGGGACGGTGGGTTTGGACTCTTTTAGTTGACAGCGGGGTTTACGAAGAGGTATCTACTGTAACAAATAGTACATTATGTAGAAGGCTGACCACTAAAGCTATAGGGATTTGAATATTCTGTATGGAGAACTGAGGTATCATCTCAATTTAAGAGTAAAGCAGGCTCTGGCGATCTTATTGTTCTTTCGGGGACTCCGCGAGTGGGATAAGGACACCCTCTACTACTGGGATCAATAACCTGTGTAAGTAACGAAGATATTATACACCTGCCTATGGACTGCATTTATGTTTCTAGTGTAATAAAGAAAAAATGAATATATGACAACTATGGCTAGGAAGTGAATGTGGCGATTCGATTCGGGAAGTGTTGGAAAGTCTATATCCCTTGGCATGACTGCGTGACCGAATCTTGTATATGCCGATTCTCTCCATTTGTTGTTGCTAGGTGTTGAATTGCGTTTGGTAGGGTATATCGGAACCAGGCTGTTGTTGTGATTGTTCAAACTGGTCCAGAAGATCATGTAGTATGTAATGCGACCGAAGGGATATATCAATTCTCTAGGGCTCGGCATCGATATATAGGCCTTCTTGACCCTCAAATAGCAATGAAGACAACATATTATAAGAGCAGAGTGATGTATCAACGACTTACAGCTCACCGACCCCTGCATATTGAGCACCTTAGCCAGCCGTAGAATACTGTGACAGATATGCGCCAACAAAAATTTGGTTCGATAGAGTGAATTGAGAATATAGCTCCAGAGAGCCATCGCTCGTTACCAAGTTGCCATACAATCCGTTAGCCACACCAGTCCTTCCTATCGGTAGAAGAATTACTTCATCACAGACAGCTGCATTCGACACATTAAGCATTTCGCTGATCGAGGTACCTCGAATTCCACTAGAGGTAGGCAAATCCCGTTCGAGAGATCCTATAGCAGCTCGTCGGAAGTGTAGGGGAGATTGATAGTCTGTAAAGCTTGGTAATGGTTCTAATAGGAGGATAGCAGGAGATATTATTTATCTAACAATGCCTACTTGACGTCCTGGTCTATAGTAATCATTCATCATTATCGATAACCTACGTGAATCATCTTAGTAAATTTGGGGGAGCGAACATACTGTCTAACGCCCGCGGACTATATATCGGATCTGGACTAAAAAGCCGAAGTTAATAGTCACATGTCACTTACTATGGGAAACCCTCAGGGCTTAGATTCCTACTCAAGGAAGCTCTCTCCTGGTCTATAGGAGTCAGCATCATTTTGATAGATCTCATTACCCGGAAGGCTCACCAGATAGATTTAGAATGAAAGCATTAGAATCTTCCTCAGAGGTTGTCTACAGTTATACATTGGCCGACAAAATTGGATTGAGAGACGGGTCGTCTAGATTTGAATCAATCCTACTGTCAACGCGACGTCTTTTCCGTGCTTCGTACAATAAATCTCTTACAGGCTGCGAGTCCTTTTCAGTTTGGGATTCAACCCCAAAGTCAGCTTGCCTATCCAAGGAAAGCTGATGCACAGGAAAGAAGAGCCTTTGTCTTTCCAGTTCATCCATGGCATCTGTACCAAATGGATCTAGGTACCATTTTGCAAACGATTCCAGAGCAATATCAAAATTGCAGTATAGAACATTATACACGTCGGAAAATCTAGGCTAATTATAAGTAAAAGGCGACAGGCAAAACGGTTTATAGACGTACTGGACACTTTTGCCAAATATACATTTAATAATGCACAGAACAGAGAGATGGTTTAAGTGCAAACTCGCTAGGCCTTTCTTATATTAGTCTTCTTTCAGACAGGTAGTAAATATAGGTATCGATTTGGTTGCTTTCGCCCAGTACCTCAATGAAGTAAAGGTCGGGGTAACTAGATTCATTTATCAGCTCCGTATAAACCAAACTAGCAAAGAAGCCTAACAGTAAAACAATATATCACCACTTCTGATATCCCAACCGCTCTCAGTTTAGAGGCGGTCAATTGCCTCGACCCCCCAAGCCGCACCATGCCGAAGTTCCTAAAGATAGTTGGCTCCGCCTTTTAAAATACATCTCATCATCTTATTCACCAAATCTAGGTCCACCCCTAGACAACATGCAACATAGCAAAGCGCACCTAACAAGAAATTCTAATAGGATGATATCAATCTCGCCCACTTCGCATTATTAGCGCATTTTTGTGCGAGTGAAGCATAAGCCCCAAGAGTTTGGATGATATCTAAGTGACGAGAACGGATAGCTGATATTAGGGAATCACTGTCTTATAGGTAATCTTCGCTTTGGAATAGTAAATCCAAAATGGAAATTCGAGGGGAAGATACGGCACTAGACTACTTGTCTGCGTAAGGAATCTTGTTGATAAAACTTTCTAATGGCTTTATCTACGTTTCTTCTGACCGAGATGAACCTGATAGCGAAACCCTTTTACACTGGTTTACTGAAAGTGTTTGAGAGCTAGGAGGCTGGAGAAGTTGAGATGGTATGGTTTCGAGTGGAATTTGAGATTGTGTAAGGATATCAGGTAGGATGTAAGGCGTCCATTTTCTCAGTATCCGCTGAAGGTAATAAATGTATCTCTCCAAATCGGCGACGTAGTGGATAGTATTGCTGGATTCCATCTTATAGACAAGCGAAGCTATTCAAAGATAACAGTATGATATAGAATAGATGATTCAGTCCTCTTAGGAAATAGCGGGGAAGGAGAGTTAATACAAAAACTACTAACAAAGATTGATTGGGCGTGACAGGGGTATAGGCTCCCAGCCCATACCCCTGTCACGCCCAATCAATTGCGGCGCATATATACGCCTACCGAATGAGCTCACATACGCATTAGCAACGTTAGAGAAGCGAAAAATTGACTCAAAATACGTGGACAGAGTATAATACTAGTGCCTTCGGACTTTCGAGACTACCCAAAAGAATGGATCAAAGAGAGTCCACTCATTATTTCGCACAATATCTCGAGCATCGCTCAAGTTTTTAGAAGGCTATTTCTCATTAATCTAGAAATTTTGATTAAAACTAACTTTCACCGTCCTAGACCCATAATCAGTGGCATATACAAAAGAAATGACAAGTCTGCTAGATCATCATGATATAAACTACTGTCTCTCATATTTATCTAAATCTTTGACCAGGATTTCACTACTGCAAGACCATGGTCTGCTTGAGCCTACATAGAGTTCGTTATGGTTTTTCGAACTACATATCCTCCTTTTTCTTTTCCCCAGGCAACTCGCGCGAAACGCTTTTATTTAGAGGCCCAGATCCCAATACAAGTAACATACATGAATGTACAAAAGGCACCAAGCCTGACAATAGTATTTCTACCAGAGATTCAGCGCCAATTTACTTGCACGTAAGCTGTCCTTTTCCCCATATTGACCACTGAGACCTAACCCAACAAGACTGTGCGGATTTTTTTTTCCAACGACATAACTCAAATTATAAAAGATATCAAAAGAAATAGCCTCGAGGATGTGGTTATTAATACCGTTCCCTTCCAAAATCTTAGCGCTCAGCATCCAGCCCAAGATGGGCATAGCAATACGAAGAATACATTTCCAATAGATCTTACGGTACTTGAGTCTGGTATTATACAGGTTCGGAGGAAATATAGGATTATAAAATTCATTCCCTTAAGCAGCGATAACCCAATTATCTTACAACAACCGGCAACGGACCCTAACTTAAAGAAAGCTCTTTATTACCAGCACCTATACTCAAAATACCTACAGGAATATAGAAAAAGGCGAGACTTAGCAGAAGTCTTAGGATACGAGATACCCAAGTATTTAAAGAACTGGTATAATAACTGTCTCCGAGACATTATAAGGCGACTAGAACAACTCGGATATTTTTAACCAAAGAATATATAATTCAATTCAAATAAGCAAAAAGTCAAAGTTTAGAGGCGCTATTTCACACATAATGCTTTGGTATCGATCTTAAAGTATTTTCCTAACTTCACTATCGTAAGGCCAATTCAAGAAAATAATCAAGCCCTACAATGCTTCAGAAGATGAAGTATTAAAATGCCAAGTCATTAGCGCTAGTATTAAAACAGTACCATAACTGAGATCAGATAATATATTTCCCACGTGAAGGTGTAAGTCATTTTCAAGATAGGGTTCCTAGGTCCTCCTGCGTTTCAGAGTATTACAGGCATCTAGCAACATTTCAGCATCTTAGCTAAGATTTTCCGAGGGCCTCCGTTCCAAGAGTAACGGAGATACAATTCTCAAGAAGAGCATTGCCTCCAAAGCAATATTTGCCGGCCCATAGAGGATTTGGGCAGGAATCGGGGCAGGCTTCTGATATAAGCATACCATCGTCACCAGAGAGAGGGACGGGTACTCACCATAGCTAGATCTTTGGTTCAATAATAAGGTACGATAGATAGCGCCTTAGACAGTAGAAATAGGCACCTTCCTAACCTACTAGACTTAAACCAAGAAACACAGCTAACATTTGAAGCCTTCCATCTCTTTTGATATTTTCTACTATATATTACTCTACATTACTCGAAACTGGTTGTCCAACTGGCCTTATACACTGTCTTCCTTCTGGGTGGCTTCGGGCTCCTCTTCTAAACTAGATACAGTGAATTATTGAACTTCCTGATATTGTATTCATCGAAGGTAAGGCTTATTTGTACCGCGAAAGAGGAACCTAGATCGCCCGAAAAACAAACGTCTAATTGTGATTATACTCATTTTAAGAGTGCCGGGGCTTGATTTTGTCACAACTTACTGCAAAAGTAGCCAGTCTATTCAGTCTCATACATCTTAAGACTGATTTAATTGATCTCATAGCAAGGACCATAGGATATAAATATGAAAACGTCCACTCTATAACTATTCCACATGAAATTTTTTCTCAGTCTCCTTTATCTTCGGCCGTTCACTTCTCGTTACTTGATATGGATAAAAACAAGAAAGACGAACACTCTCAAGGTAGCGCTCCTATCACTTCTCAGCACCATACGAAGGATATGGCCCTCTTTTTACAAGATAAAGTAAGTTTTAATCAAGAAAACTCTAAGAGCTTATCTTCTAGCTAACTAATTGGCTTTAGCTATAGAACCATTCCCTAGACCTCGTTCCTCAAGGCGAGGAGGAACCAAGTCGACAAGGTATCGCGATATTATCCCATTCCTTACTACCCTTACTTAAGAAGACTCCTAATATTAAGCCCCCCACCCTATAGGTACTTCCTCAATCCACTCTGCGCATGGCTTTTTTAGAATGAAAATAGACGAAAGTTCGTTTATATTCAATGGCGACACCAGAGGCAGACATCCCAATAGGACTCAGTTCCACGTGATCAGTGGTAGGTCTATAACGAAGAACAGCACCCTAGTCAACGGCGATTTAGACGCGGACAGTTTAAAAAAATTTATCAGCAAAGAGAACTAGGATGACTGAATCAGAACAATATGTAGCAGGTCATCTAAGATTTACAGGGTCGATTCAATTTACTAAAGGGTTGTAAATATATCTGAAAGGGTCTCGTTTACAAATAAAGCCCAATCACTATACACCTAAAGCAGATAACGTACAAAACTGTAGTGGTCTAGCTCATAATCTGTTCCAATCCAGTCATTTCTTCCACATTCTGGTTAAACATTAACTATTCAATACTTGCTCTTCGAGTTTAAGTAGACCGAAGGGCAATGGAAACCCATAGCATTATTGCTTCGCCATATAGGACTTCGTTAAAACCACTCTGTAGATTATTTCTCCTTCGACATAGCTTGATAATCACTAGAAAAGAATCAAACCATTAGAAAGTAACAATACATACAAATAATACTCTCAGCTAGGAGGTAATCTATTTTAGCAAGATCGGTGCCGGTAGGCGATCAGTAGGGTATCCGTCTAAAAATAATGGCCTCATGTTTTAGCACAGGCTTTTAAGCTTCGAGCAGGCTTAATTTTTCCATCGCAAGCCAAATACATCGGCTTATTAGAACTTCTATACCTATTTTTGTGATGTATCAGCTCGTCTAGGCCGTTCTAGGATAACGAATAGCTCCAGTATATAAATAGAGCAAGTGCCATTTAAGTATATAAAAGCAAAGACCTTACCTAGCGATATTCTTAAGAAAAGCAAGCGTCAGACTAATAGAAATGGACTTCGCTCCTCATAGTATACTCTCTAACCACATTATTGTTATAAAGCTAACTTAAGACCCCCTAGATCCTGATAAATTCTTACAAGAATTTAGAAGAATAAGAACGGGAATTTATAATACTCCAGATGGTTAGGAAAAGTATATCTATTAGGTTAGACTATATTAGCTAATAACTCACAGACTTTATTATAAGATACAATACAGACAAATCGCCCTCATTTAAGCCTATCGATGAAGAATTATAGAAAGCGTGCGCTAGAAGCAGCGTTATTACCCATTTTACACTTAACCAGGTATACGAGGCCCTCCAGACCTCTAAGGAATGTAACCACATTTAGACACTATTCGAACGCATTTTTTCAATTTCCCAGAAGTCGAAGAAAGAAGAAATATACTCGATTAGGCCAGGTATCTACCAAGTTCCCAGTGGTAAGAAGACTATTATAACATTGTTAAGTTAGAGCTGGAGACTAATATATAATAGACTTGATAATAATGCGCACGAACAGACAAGCCCTAATAGGAGGATGTTCTTATAAACTCATTTCGAGGAAGATACAAAGCGATTGTCAACGCCTTTATACACTTAACCGAAGTGGAGATAAACTTAGGTTTACTAAGATTTACGCGGGCCTATGGATCCTCGGTAGACACTCGAGGTCTATATTCTCAGAAATGTCAGTTATCATAAGGGACTAGCTTCAAAATCAGGAGTTTTCTATTACAGAGGAAGGGATGTTAACCAGGCTTATCCTACAACTAGGGCGGCCTATCAAAACCCAGGGCATTGCCAACCTTATAAAAGGGCGGGTCGTCGAAAGCAGATATCTTATAACTAAACTTTTGCGGGACAGAGGAGACCATTAGTATGCCAAGTGCCAATCTCCACACTATTAGCAGAAACCAAGTGCAACCTTGCGAGAACTTATTAATACTTTGTATTAAACGACCTCCTTTTATATCTCCTTCAGTATTTTAAGTCAGTCTATACAATCTTATCTCTCATTGCCCTTTTGCCCCACAGAAGAATAGGTGGTTTATAAGAGGCTCCACCGGGTCTAGTAGATAAGTCAAACCCAATTCGGGGAATCCCTCACGAACTAAACCAGCTTTACACCTTCTACCCGTCATCCTTCTGCCCGTCATCCAGCTGCGGTAATTCACTTCAGAAGCGTATAGTCGTTTTTGTATCAGAAGATCGGCCCAAACTAAAGTGAGGGCTTACATACAGTCGGTCTTTACCCTCACAACCCGTTTGCAGGTAATACATTCTGAGGAGATCACTGTCGGCCATACAGTTTGTAGACCTCTCCGTGCGGCATTCCTTTCCCTTTATTTTTCTTCCTCTAGCAGACAACTTACCGGCAAACGCGCAGCTTGCCGCATCGGCGTTCTCTTTATATATCTGCAGAGATACTTCTTATAACGGGCCAGGGCCCACACGGGATCACGTATCAAACACGTGACCTTCGTCTACCCTTATTTTCCCCCGTTTATCGCCACGAACTCCATTTCCTCTTATTAAGCTTTTAGACAATAGCAAACGGCTTAGTTAGCTTGAATCCAATCTAGCTTCGTCCCTTCACACTTTTCTCATGTTCTAGTAGATAGAATCCGGCTTACTTTGTGGTACAAAGCTATATAGACAGGCTTCAGTATAGTAGCTAGTTTGGCATCTTCCATCATTATCAACTTTTGCCATCTGGTTAATCACTTCTTCCCTCGTAGTCAGAACCTCTTATCAGCAGGTCTCTGAGCCTTTAGTCAAATCATGACTGCGAGCCAAAAGAAGCTGTAGCCCACTTGGCAAAATGAAGAAGGCTGAACTGTTTGATAGTCCAGGAGTAAATTGAAGCACCGAGAGCAATATTTGATAGACCATGAGGCGAGATCATAGGGGGCACCCTCTTTTATTATATTCTGGCGGCTTATGGCATAGTTGTAATCTCGGAAGAGGTTCCACTGAACCTCGATCTTCTGCCGTAGTGATTGGCTTTCTAAGGCAGTTTTAATTGCATTCTTGATCAAATATTACGGGTTATCTTTACTGAGTTCTTGAAGAAACAAATGGAGGGCCTCGTGGGAGCCGAGAGGTTTTAGAGAGAATGTCGGACTCAATTGCAGACTGTATAAGATCTAACGGTAGTCCCTCAATTTTCTCGAAAAGTGAAGGACTTTTAAGGGGCATTTTAGGGGACTCATCATAAGCAGGCATTTTTCTCTAACAACAATAGTATAAAACAATGCTAAAGTAGGTTGAAGTATTGTTACGAAGGAGATTATCAGTGGAAATTAAAGGTTTTATAGTGGATTCCAAGCAAGGGATCAACGCTCAAAAGACAATACCATTCTCAAACATATCAGTCTGTGCTCTCGTAGACCATCTGATAATACAGGACCTTTTACAACATTGCCCCTAAGAAGCACCATATTCCAGCGTCTATCATATATATCTCAGGGCGTGGATTGCCCCACTAAGCGTTCCACTCCACTAGCGTAGATACCAGAGTTCATACTTTTATTCCTACACGCCAAATGTTTGATCAATCTATACTACCCTAGCTTATAAATAGATTATAGTACTCGACATAAGAGCTACACTTTATAAATATCTAGTTTTTCCCATTAACACGCTTAGTCTACCATAACGCAACCCGCGGCGAATCTGTTTAAACTACAGAAACTAAACCGTAAATAATCTAGATAGTATAAACAATCTGCTGAATTAAAAATATATCGAAAGACCCTCCGTTAACGCCATATAGGCAAACAAGCGTCTAGTTTACAAGCAAAAACAGGCATCCACGGAGATTAAATGATCTTCAGATACATATTTTAGCCCCTAGCTTGGCCGAGTACAACCACTAATACTCCCCTATTATATAAAAAGCCCCAGAGATTTTGTCACCAATTCCAGGCCAGTTTCCCCCGCTTGAGCCTTAATGTCAGCCACTCGAGCAGTCGTATCCAACCTATGAATTACTTAGATCTTCTGAACAGCAACCTTTTCCAAACATACTTTCTCCCTTTGTAAGCGATGCAATTCATCATTGGAGCATTCGCCCGAGAGCATCAAATCACACACCCAACTATTAACACATGTTCTCCCGACAATTGTGATTAAAAGATCCTCAGAGAGTGTACGGCCCGTGCGGCCCGTATCGTCTCTTCTATATCCCGGAGGCGGGTGTTATATAAGGAATTCAAATATTTCAGCGCTCTCCCGCTCCTTTTTGTCGGCAGCTGCAGATAGAGCTTGGCGCCAGTCGTCGTAGCTTTTAGAATGGCACGAGATCCACCTAGCTCCGGCCACGCAGTTGCGTCTCGCCGCATAGGTCAAGAGGTCTCCGGGGAGCTCTTCGTCATGGCCCCAGAACCAATCTAACATTGGTTCAGGGTTTTGTTAATATAAAAGGTAATGCCAATTCGGAAGTCCGTTATTTAGATTGGGGATTCTAAGATCCACACCTCGACGTAGCAGCTAACTTACTAGATCTATATCGGCAAATTTGCACAGATTCATTATCTCCGTTGGCCCAAGTCTCAATTCAATTTCAGGTATTGATCGAAGACGTTTCCAGCAGCCCTGGAACAGCTGGGCATCCTTAGTAGTAAATTGTAATATCGTCTTGTGTCCCTCTACCGAGATAGGTTTAAGGAGGTCGAGGAGCTCTATCTCAGACATTATCCGCTCTATCAAACTGGGGTTTTTTGAATTTACCGCAATCAGATAGAAGGATTGCCCATCCCGACAAAAAAAGGAGGGACAGATTGTTTGATAGTCAAGTAGAAACGTAAAGCACTGAGGACAATCGATGATCGCTTTTAAGGCTAAATCATAACGAGCGGTCTTATCGAAAATATACCGACACGTCTTCGTATGATCAAAGTCAGGGCAGAGTTCCCAACTAGTCTCAATTCTCTTTCGAAGCGAAAGGCTTCTAAGAACAGTGTGAATCCTAGTCTTAAAGATAGAATCCGTCTCCTCCTGGCAAAAGGCTTATAGAGTATATAAGGCATTATGTGATCCAAGCAACTCGGAAAAAACACCAGCCTCGATAATAGAATCTATAAGCTCTGTTAGCAGTTTTTCGATTCTCCCAAGGATACTGTCTAAACCTAGAGAAGACTCTGCATTCTCTATGCTTTTATTAACAGCAGTATCTGCTAGAGGCTCTGGCATTTTCCAAAAGTTCATGATATTTAGAACCTCGATATTTAGAAGCTCGAGTATACTGTCTGACTCAAGAGATGATTCAGCGTCCCCTATATCTTACAGTGAGTAAGAATTCCATTCTTACGTGGGCTTCTCCAGCTTACTGTTTTCTTGATCTCCCCAGACTAATAAGGGATTGTCTTGAAAGAAAAAGGGACCAACCCACTTCAGAAGTAGGCTTCGTACTGAGATAATAGGGAAACAATCCATGGGCCTTTTTTATTATAATTATCCAGAGGAGCAAATGAAATCAGACTAGAAGAGCAACTCCATTATATTTATATATTCACAAACTAGAACAGTTTCCCTTTAACCATTTCAATATAGAGATATAAATCCGCCACTTACCCAATTGTGGGGATATAGGGCTCGAACTTATCTCCCACCGAGCATAGAAGGCCACACAACTCATAACGTGATCCATCAAATCATATTCATTAACTAGGTAATAGTCCTAAAAGTCCATTCTTTCTCCATTCATCGGAGAATCAACATCTAATTATAAGCTGAACAATTTTCATATAAGAAAAAATCATCTCCCCTAGGCATTCAATGATTCCACTATCTTAACGGCTCAAAATACAGTGGCTAAATTCCCATAGTCGGGCTAACAGAGATATTATATCCTTCCTAGTTAGTATTCTATCTCAATATCCACATTATCCACAAGATAACGCATAAGGTCCTCCCCATTATACGAGTAAAGTATACGCTTAATTGATATACGTAGAGAACTGGGCGGCAGGATATCCATCATCAGCAGACTGTATAGCACAACCATACATTCCAAGTCCGTATTACCAGCATTTGACCCCATTAGATTCTTAATAAACGTCGGAGGGGCATATCCTATATACCGAGAAAGAATACAGGATAGCAGATCGGTAGTAATAGGCCCATCATCACACGGGGCCGAAGAGACGATATAAGTAGCGACATCGCTGTGTTCAATCATGAACTAAGGGTGATCCATTTCACAGACTAAATAGTTAATTAGATATCTGCTACGTATTAGATCAAAGAAAAACATACAGAATTGACTTATAACCCATAGCAATTGCGCGGTAAGGGGCTTAGTAGGTATTATTGGCGTTATTAACATAACTTAGGAAAAGAGGAGGTAAAATGCCATATAACTGCGATAGCTAGGAGAATATTTACCTAGGAATAGAAACACTTTATACCTTTCTACAGGTTCGCCTAATTGATAGATATAAGCAACTGTTCAGGCTTCTTTAATATAAATCGCACGAAAACAGACTTAGGCGCTAATTGGATAAAGAAATGGCGAGTTCTTATAAAGATACAATCAACTCCAGGAAATTAAAGGGTTAAGATCTATAAAGAGTATAAAGGAGGGAACACCTTTTCTAAAAACCTTAAGTGGTTATTTAATTAGATAATTCCTACATTACTTAACAAAACTTTAGAGAGCTGTTATCTCGGTGTTACCAGTCCAATCAATGTCTTATCATTCAGATTCACACCATCAATTTCCTTATAGCTTCACCGTACTCATCAATAGAGGCGAGAATAATCCTCGGCTTCAAAACTCAAGCCTTAGCCACAGGGCACTCGCCACATCGATGCTTAAAATTCTGTTTTCTTGGTAGCACTTCTCCCATTATACAGAGACCTCTGGTAACCTTATCGATACATGGGAATAGCACAGTTTCCACGCATCCGCATCCATATATGTAGGTATATTAAAAGCACATGATACTTCACTATGATCTATATTAGCCTCAGTCTATACACTTTAGATTGATGGTATCGCGAACCTCAATTATAAAGGCCTATACAACAGTCTGTTGATTGCTTGCGTTAATTGCTTTCAATGGAGATCTAAGGCTCGAACTAGTTGCAGAAGAAGTAAGTCAGCACATATCTAAACACATAGCTCGCAGGCTCTTATATACCTAACTCCAATTGTAGAGAAATGAGAGACAAAAGTGCATATAATATAAGTATAAAGCAATAGGAAATAATGGTCCTTCAATCCGGATATAGGGCACGGAATATATATAACACAAGCGAGTCTCCTCATTCCAGTAGCAGGGCCTACTTTGCGGCTATAGGACCTCAATCAATCTTGAATATCAACCAAGTCTAACATCTCAAAATTATTTTGGCGGTAGAGGCGGGACGCCCGGCTTCTTGACTCCCGTTATATCGTATGCGCCACATCTATAAAGCTCAGCTTAGCTTAGTTGAAAGACTCTAGTAAAGACACAACCTACCTAGCACTAGACATACTTCCGTTAGGACTAATCATAACTAGTTGGGCTCTGCGTTTTACGTGACTATCGAATAGATAGCGCAGAGTGATTTACCCAAGGAATAATGATAGAAAAGCCTGGCTCCTTCTTTTACTTCGTTGATCTCTCTATATACGAAGTCAAGTAAGTTTAGATTCAAGCATATAGCTCACCGTTTTATATAATGGAGGTCGATTGTGGAGCAAAAGGAGGTAGTAAAGTATACATAAAACTAGAAAATAGCAGCAAGAAGGATCGTAAAATGTAATCCTATAGTGTTTAGCTCCTTCCAGGAATAAGCAAAAATCAGACTCAATATGATTGCTGTCTCAAGTATAATGTTCTATATGATTGCAAGAGCCAAATTATAGCGACCTGCGTTAGATTGACCTCGGGATTACCGTTTTGGGGTCTAAAGGTAAATTGGGGTAGTCATAGTATCAATCATCGAAGATCGAGCCGATTTGATGGGAGTAGGCTGATTAGTAATATATGAAAAAAACCGCATTAACATAAATGAAGGAGTATATCGGTGATATGGTTTTCGAGTAACGGATACTTCCGTGAAATAGTGGCTAGTAATATTTTGACTAAGTATTGGGGTCCACAAGAGCTTTTGGGTTTCTCTGGCGAGCTAGGAATCGTCTAGAATAAAGAGAAAAGAATCAATCTAACTGGGAAACAGGACTTCGTAGCGAGGAACCTACTGGTTATCATACAGACCTTTTAATTGAAATTTCCTTCTTCAACCACAAAACGTAGAGACAGAAAGGATTAGCAACTACTGATACCAATCAAATGATTAGTTAGGAGAGTCTACTAACATAACTATTTGAATCAGAACCCTGTAACTTCGGTTTGATTTTACTTGCCTATATCTAGCAACCTCTACACAAACGGCTAATCAAATTGTAAACCGTTAGGTCTTAGCACTAACCCTTACGACTCCCCTCAAAGTAGCATATCATCTGAAAATGCTTCTATCTAAACGACTCTATAATGATCCTACGAGTTACATCATTTCATCATATAAAAGCAAGAATATACCGCTCATTGTAGGGATCATCTGCTAGTATACGTGCAAGATCTCCACGAGGTATCGTAGGCAGATATAAGACTGATGATAGCAAGCTGGTTGAAATGTGACTTAAAGGGAATTCTACTAATGATTCCTAAAGAAAGAAGGCGAAAGCAGATAGCTGAATTGTCCCATGATACAGGACCAGGCGTATCCCCGGAAACACAGGATAAGAGACGGGATAAGACACAGCTGTAATCTCTTCAGCCTTTCTCTCAGGGCCAAGAAACTCATAGAGATCTTAAATCAGGTTTTCTAGCGTACCGGGTTCTAATATCAGAGTCTCGGGAACACGAGGCTTACGTGATGCGAGCTGGCGCCAAGTATTTTCCATAGGTATGATTTTCGGGATATATATCGTTGTAACTGCACCAATCCGCCCAACAGTCTCCTACTAAACCTACTTCAAGAAGCGCTGAAGAGTTGCTTTAGGCCCATATAGAGTAATAGTCTCTTATATCCAAGGGGGTACGCCGACCGTCCCACAGTCAAGCATCAGCATTTACATTTCAAAAAAGAAAGCTATTAGAGTATACCTACTAGAGTGATAGTGATTGGATATATCATCGATTGGTGTTTAGGCCTTTTGAGAGAGCCGGCAGGGTCGCTGGCATAATCATCGGATGGCATAGCCGTAGAAGGTCCCATAGCCAGTCACATATCGACCTCGTGGTAATAATAAAGCGTTTAACTTAAACACCAATTTCAACAACAGGAAATTGAATCTCTAGAATAGAGAGTAGTCGATACCTTCCTCTTTAGATAGCCAAATGAATGCTTCCGGTGTTTGGGCTAGATGACCTATGATCTACTTTAAAAGAAGGTAGTTTAGCGGA